AATTTTGATTGAAAAAATTTTTTTTTATAAAAATTCAAAAATTTATTTTTTCAACTTATTGCTAACTTAAAAAAAAATGATTATTTATTAAAAATAATTAAAATTTATTATAAAAAAAAAAGTTATTTTGGAGTTAAGAAGCAATAAATGTTTTAAGAAGATAAAGAAGCATTTATCAACAACAAAACCCAGCGATAAAATGTTTTGAATAAGCAGACAACACTAAAAGTGAGTTTTAAAGACAGTGCATTTAAATTTATTATAATTAGAAAAATATGATTGAAAAGATAAATATTTAATAATGTGTCCTTGATGTTCTCAGGTTATTATTCGGACAAAGTTATATATTATACGTCCTTCATACAAGCAACACACATTATTATACAGTGACAAGTAAAGCGAATAGAGCCTATCTCATCGTCCTTCGCACAACCTTTGTTTCATCGGTTCGCTTTAAACTCGCACGATACAAATATAACACTCATAACTACGTCACTGTTTTCCCAATCTCTATTCTGTGTCCCAATCTTAAATACGCTGATCAACACCGCACTTACCTACTGTACCTATAAGAAATAATTTAAAAGCTATGAGCTTCAAGCTCGGACACAACAAATGCGTTGGGAGTCAACTCTCAGATCAAGAAACACATTACCAAATGTACACGTGTTAACCTCAAGCTTTATTAAATTTACCAACGCTAAATCCTTGGACCTCTACCAAGTTTCTGGTCTGGTGTTTCCGCTTTTTTACTCAAAGAACTTTTATATTTTCAATCTAGTGCGTATCAAGACAAAGAAATTTTTTTATATCTTATAAATACAACAAATAAATTACGCATTGATATATTTATCCATATTAGTTTTTAAAAGTAATGGCAATTGTTCTATACTCGATTTAATTGAGGTCATTGTTCTCCTGTTGTATTCACCCGTCCAGATGTTGGATGAATAAACTTTAATGACAGGTCAAGATTGTTATAAACTCGAGGAAATTCAAATAATATTTTTTTTTTTTTTTTTTTTTTTTTTTTTGTAGTAGTAATTAAGATTAATTTTTTTTCTAAATTAAGAAATACTATTTGGTAATTATTTTTTGGAAGTGGAGTCCAAAGTATTTTTATTAATTAAATTCCATTTTTTTTCTTTTTAAATTACTTTACTTGACGCATTTAAAATTTAAATCATTAAAATTGTCAAAAATATTTAAATTAGATTTAGATTTTTTTTAATTTACAATTTTTTGATTTTTTTTTTAATAATAAACTAGGCTTAAAAAATTATTTTTAAAAAATTGCACTTATAATTTTTTAGAGCTTCTAAAGATGGAATTTTTTAAATACATTTTTTTTTTTTTGGTATGATTTATTAATTAAAAAATTTCTTAAAATTTTCCAGTATTAATTTCATTATCATTTTTTTAATAAGAAAATTAATGTTACTTAATTTAGCAGACATCTGAAATTTTTTTTAATTCTTATAACAAATAAATCATAAAAAAAAAATATCTTTTTTAAATTTGCACTTGTAATTTTTTTTATTTCTAGACGTGGAATTTTTTTATTTAAATTTTTTCACAACAATTTTGTTATTATATAATTTTTCAATTGTTCTGCATGTGAAATTTTTTTAAATAAAAAAAAAACTCCAAAAATTTTCAGATGTCGGCTAATTTAATTGTCATTTAAAAATAATTCTTATGAATAAGAAATAATATATGAAAATTAAATTAGCCGACATTTAAAAATTAAAAAGAATTTTTTTATTGAAAAAATGACTACAAAAAAAAGAAAAAAATTGTCATTTGTTAAAAACTTGAAAAACTGTAAGTGCAATTTTTTAAAAATATTTTTTCGTTCTAATTTAATTATTAAAAAAAAAATCAAAAAATTAAAAACGTCGGCTAACTTTAGTATCATAATAATATTACTAAAGTTAACCGACATTTTTTACAAATGAAAATTTTTTTTTGTTTTTTTGTAATAATTTTTTTTAATAAAAAAAATTGTTAAAATTTTTTAATTTCAGCTCTTAATTTTCATTAAAAAATATTGTGTGCTCCAAATTCAAAAATTATGATAATTACCCAAAAATAATATTTATTAATTTATGTAATTATTTTAAAAAACATGACACTGAAATGACAGAGATTAGAAATTTTTTTAGAATTTTATAACAATCAAATTATTGAAAATAAAAAAAAATGATTAGTGGAAATTTTTAGAAGCATTTTGTTTAATTGTAATTGATTTTTGTACAAGATTAAAAAAAATTGACAGCTGTCAGTTAATTTCAGTATTATTAAAAAAAAATGACTAGATATATTAAAAAAAAAAAAAAAAATTACAAAATAAATTTAGTCTTAATTTACAATATTAAAAAAGATATGAAGCCCTGAAAAATAATAATGACTCTGGAGGACATGTGACAGCGCACAATACTTACTGCGCATGCTTAGCGTATTTTTAAATCCGCACTAGCGCCATCTTCCTTACTAATTCCACAAAGAGTATTTAATAAAATAATTTCCAACTCCAAAAACAAAGTAATTAAAAAAGAATAAAAACAGAAAAAATGCAAACAAAGGTAAATGATCTGTCAGTTGAAGAAATGAAAATAAAAAAAGATATGAGTGAGTGTGTGCGTGCGAGTTAGCTTAATACAAATGAGTCTTAAAGTCAGTTGTGCACTCGCCCAGTGGTATGTGACACAGAGAGAAGTGGTGAGTGTAAGGATCGCCGTCATGAAAACATTCGGGCGCCGTCGTCGTCGCCGTCGTTGTTGTTCTTCCTCCGTCCTTGCTAGCTGTACGGAATTCAACAAATATCGAACGCCTCCTCTCTGTGTGTACTCGGACACGACGACGACGGGAAGGTATACGTGATCGTCGTCGTAATTATTATTTTATTATTATTTATTTATCATTTTGAAAGAAAAAGTGCGCAACTAAATAAGTCCGGTCTGATGATAGCCAAATTAAATTTAATGGATAGAAGTGAAGTGAGCCAGCAAGTTGTGTGTCGGGACATAAAGATACGCCACGGGGAAATCCTCCTGTCGTACATTTATACCAACACAATCACTTGGTAATACGCTGGTAAGAGTGAGACAGTTGAGAGTAATGAAGAAAGACTTAACACGTACAGCGGTGGTAAGAGTGAGACAGTAAATAGATAATAAAATAAAACAAGAAAGTAATAGATAGATATTCTGAGATATAAGAGGAAGACAAAAAATCTAAGAAAGAGTTAAAGAGAAAAAAAAAGAGCGAAAGAAAAGGAGAAAGAGTGAGACGGATTATTTTATTAATTTATTTATTTTATGAGACTAGAAGATCAGACAAACGGGGTTTTATCGTGGACAATCGTGTGCGTGTATATTCTTCCGTGGTACAGAGACATGGGACATGGAGCTCACTTGAAAGCACTCTTACTCCATGTTGTGCATCGGTTGCAACACTATATTGCGTACTCCAAAGTGAGTGATATCATTCTTCTCTCTTTAATAAATATACAGTTATATATTTTTATAAAAATATTGTTGTTATACTTTTTAGCCAACCCTATTGTCATGGTCATTGTGTTACGCGGGGTGAATTAACTTAAAATTATGTAAATAAGCTGCCAAGCCCCGTTGGTAAGGACAGAGCGAGAAAAGTGGGAGTTAAAAAATAAAACTAAAGTTAGCCGACGTTTATAATTTTTTTATTTAAAATTCCACTTAAAATTTTACAAGTGATTTTTTTTTATTTTTTTTTTTTTTTTTTTTGTATATAAATTTTCAATAAAAATGATTGTAAAAATTTTTAGATGTCGGTTAACTTAATTTTCATTAAAAAATAAAACTACAGTTAGCTGAAGTTTATAATTTTTTTATTTAATAAAAATTGCACTTAAAGTTTTACAATTTTTTTACAAGTGAATTTTTTATTTTTTTGTATAAAAATTTTCAATAAAAATAATTGTAAAATTTTTAGATGTCGGTTAATTTAATTTTCATTAAAAAATAAAACTAAAGTGAGCCGAAAAAAACTGTACTTAAAATTAGCCATCTAAAAATTTTTAGAATTTTTTTTGTTGAAAAAATTATTTAAAAAAAAAATAATTGAAAAAATTTCACATGTAAAAAGTTTTAAAAATTATACGTGCAATATTATAAAAATATTTTTTTTGTTCTAATGTAATTGATAAAAAAAAATTTTTAATTGTTGAACGTTGGCTAATTTTAATGTCATTTAAAGTTTTACAAGTGAAATTTTTTTTTTTTTTTATTTTTTTGTATAAAAATTTTCAATAAAAATAATTGTAAAATTTTTTAGAGGTCAGTTAACTTAATTTTCATTAATAAATAAAACTCAAGTGAGCTGACGTTTATAATTTTTTTATTTAATAAATTGGAACAAAAAAATATTTATAAAAATTGCACTTACAAAGTTTTACAATTTTTTTTACAAGTGAATTTTTTTTTTTATTTTTTGTATAAAAATTTTCAATAAAAATTTTTAGATGATTAACTTAATTTTCATGTTAAAAAAAAATTAGTATATAAGTCTGTACTTTTTCTGTCATAAACTTTATTAATCTCATTGTTTTTATCTACTCTAAAAAAAAATGAATTTATTTTTAAACTTTAATATTGTTGAATTTTATCTGTCATGTGTTATGACTTTTGGCCGAGTCGAAACTGTATGCATTTCGGATATTTACAGCTACATGAGTTACTGATAAAAAATATTAACTGTGATGGAAACAAAGTAAAGTGTTGATAAGTATTGATATGAGTTTAATAATAATAATTTGTATTTTTAAATTTCAGGTAAACGTCAAGTGACTGCCAATTGTGGGTAGTCTGACAGGCGATTCAAACAATATCGAGGTTTACTGTGTTTATATATATTTTAAAAAATAAAGAATCACTGAGATAAATAAAAGAGACTTTTACTATCTGAATTTTAATAAATAACTTAATCGTAGAAAAAAACTAAATAAATAAATAAATAAAATGGAGCGTGAGTCAAACCCGATGCAAGCGTTGTGTCGCAGCGGCTGTGGATTCTACGGCTCGCCAGCCACTGATGGCCTTTGCTCTCTGTGCTTCAAAGAGAACCTTAAGAAGAAACAACAACCCCCGGTATCTTCGGCAACTGTTTCAGCCTCACAACCAGTATCTAGCAATGCTGGAACGCTCCAAAGTAGTTTCAGCAGTCCTGCTGCGGGTACCACCGCCCAGCCTACCATTCCCACAATTCCACAGTCTACGACAGATTTATCAAGTTCTAAAGAGGTAATTTCACTATTTTTATTTTATTTATTTTATTTAAATTGATGTTATGTAAACATGTAAAAAAAAAGAAAACGCACAAGTAGGATAAATTAAATTAAATGATTATCATTCATCATGATTTCGCAAATTATTTTTGATCACAAGATTTAAATTCCAGTTGTATATTATGGTCTCTGGTCATAGTTCATCTGATGCAAAACCAGTAAATTTTATTTTTATTTAAGGTAAAAGCCCCTATTATTGACACTCTACAATTTTATTATTTCATTATTAAAATCTGTTAATAATCACAATTGTTATTTCATGACAATTTTACATATTTTTTAAATTAAAAAATAGTAAAATTTAATTCCAAGGTATAAAATATTTACCGCAAAAAAACTTAATTTTTTTAAATAGGCCAAAACTGCTTATACGTTTGTAATTTCTAAACAATATCGTTAAGAAAGACCTTATTTTAAAATCCAGATTTCTCAATGTTTTTTTTTTTATGTAATTGCATTGCTTAAAATTATTTTAGATTATTTATAGTCTAAATAACTATATAATCATTTATTTATACTTTATCCAGTTAAAATGGATTTTAAAATAGCGAATGTCAATGATGGGGACACAAAAATTAACTTGCGTCAATTAACGACATAGATGTAAGGTAACTCAACCCCCTCAACATACATATCAACGTATTAATGTTTACAAACTGTCATGTGATTTTATAAGAATCAAAGTATTTGAGACTAGAAAAAATTGCTAAAAAAAATCTGGTAAAAAATATAGAAAAGCTAGGTCTTAAACGAATTAAAAAATAATAAAAATTATTGATAGTTTTGCATTAGTTAGTAAAAATGATTATTGTTACTATAAATTTAACTGTAATAAAAGACCTGTCAATAGTAGGGTCAATGGTATGTCAATAATCGGCTCTTTGAATTTTTTGCGCCGTCAATAATACATACATTCGACTTGTTGGTTTTAAGTTGATATAATAATTATTAAATTTATTGCTATTAAAGTTAATTAATTAAATTATATAAGTAAAAACAATGATTGAGGTGTCCTATAAAAAAAAGTTGACAATATTGAATTGAGACACGATAAAAAAATTCCAATATTCATGATCACTCTTATAGTGTCAATAATGGGGGCTTTTACCTTATTGTAATTATGTAGTTGAAAAATTATTTTATATTTCTTTAAAAAATGACACGTTAAATATAAGATTGTTTATGAGTAATTACTAATTTTTAAAAAATAATTAATAGGTAAATAGGGACGAACAAGAAGCTGAAGGTGGAGTGAGTAGTGGAGCGGCTGAAGGATCGGTCAGCAGTGGTGATACGGACGATGGCTTTGATGGAAAAGAGACTGACAAAGAATTCAAAAAGAAGAAAAATCGTTGTGTTGTATGCCGCAAAAAAGTTGGTTTAACTGGTGAGTTGGACAATTAATTTATATTATTAAGAGAATAAGAAAAATTTTGTGTCCAGGATAGTCATATGATATACATAATTAAAAAATTACCTTGTATCTTGTGAAATATTGGCATTTTTAAGATACAAGCTCACCCCAACATTGCACTCATCGAGACCTTTCATTTGAGTACCTACTTGCATTTTTGATACATTATATAGTATATATATATATATGTATATATGAAAAATATATCAAAATGCATGTGGGTACTCAAATGAAAGCTCTTGATGAGTGTAACATCGAGATGAGCTTATATCTTTAAAAATCTCAATAATTAAGAAATGACATAGTATTTTATCTACTGATGATATCTTCAACGATATAAGCTCACCCCGACATTACACTCATTGGGACCTTTCATTTGAGTACTCACATCAATTTTTCATGTAGTTATATATTTATCTATATATATATATGTATATATGAAATATATATCAAAAATGCATGTGGGTACTTAAATGATAGCTCTTGATGAGTGTAACATCGGGATGAGCTCATATCTTTAAAAATGTCAATAATTAGGAAATGTCATTGTATTTTGTCCGCTGATGATATTTTCTACGATATAAGCTCATCCCGACATTACACTCATCGGGACCTTTCATTTGAGTACCCACATCAATTTTTCATATATTTTATACATTATATATATGTATATATGAAAAATATATCAAAAATTCATGTGGGTACTCAAATGAAAGCTCTTGATGAGTGTAATATGGGGATGAGCTTATATCTTTAAAAAGGTCATTAATTAAGCAATGACCGTGTATCTCGTGAACTATTGACATATCTTAAGATATAAGCTCATCCCGATGTTACACTCATCGAGACCTTTCATTTGAGTACCCACATCAATTTTTCATATATTTATATATATTATATATGTATATATGAAAAATATATCAAAAATGCATGTGGATACTCAAATGAAAGCTCTTGATGAGTGTAACATCGGGATGAGCTTATTTCATTTAAGTCGTCAATATTTAAGAAAGTACAGTGCAACTTAACAAAAGTCATCATTTAATTAAGCAAAATTTTATTTATTTATAGTTTACAAGTTACTGTAGTCACATAGTGACTGCAAGGTTACTAGTTATATAATAATTAATAATTTTTTATCTATTTAAAGGATTCGAATGCCGTTGTGGTGGACTCTTTTGCTCTGTGCATCGATACAGTGACAAACACGATTGCAAGTTCGATTATAGAGAAATGGGTGCCCAAGAAATTCGGCGTAACAACCCGGTTGTTGTTGGTGAAAAAGTGCAAAAAATTTGAACTATTTTAGTGTGTAGTCGTTGGGAAAATGGTTATAACTATATAAACAAAACAAAATATTATAATAATTAAATAAAAAATAAAAAAAATAAAAAAAAATTAAGCATGAAAATAACGAGATGAATTATCTGGCAGCTGATTGCACATTGAGGAATGGGGTATGGTTAACTAAAAATAATAAATAATTGAAAAAAAAAACGTAAGAAAAAATACATTGATAAATGTATGAATGAATGAACAAGTGTGATTGGTTGTAAGAATGTCATTTCAAACAATGGTTATAATTATTAAAAAGTAACAAAATAATAATAATAACAATTAACTTAATTAATAAATGAACATTCTGTGAATTTCGGATGTGGGTAGACAAAGTTATTATTAAATAAAATATATAAATAAATATATATATATATGTATGTATGACTGTAAGAATGGGTAAATTAAAATATGAGTGTTAGTGCCATGTCGGATTGTCATCTAGTGAGTTTTAAAATGCGAAATAACATCTGGTTAGTTGCTGCCAGTTTACTACTATTTTACCTATTATATTATTATTATTATTATTATTATTATTATTATGATTTATTATTATATATATAATAATTATTAATTTACTTAATGCAAAATCAATTAAAAATAGATAAATTTAATACCAATTAAATTATATTTAAGTAGATTAAATTCCTGGTGCAGTCAGTCAGTCAGAAATTAATCTTGTTGAAGGCAGTCGATTGGATCCAGTCGAAGGAAGCCGAATTATTAAGCTCGAAAACAAATGTTTTTTCTTGTATCAACTATTATTATTATTATTATTATTATTATTATTATTATTATTATTATTATTATTTTTGTTTCTATACATTTAGCAAAAGGGAGTGTTGTTTAGGCAATGACTGACGTTGATGGGTGATCACAATTATAGATTAATTGGTAGTCTAATAACGATTAAGTATATTAGCCGATTGATTCATAAATAATGCAATGAAGTATAAGTAGTAACTGTGTGTTTATGTCCAATCTCACGAAGAATATATCGAGCATTATTACTCATTAAACAAAAAAGAAAAAAAAAACACTGTTTGAAATTACGTTGCGAATGCTTATTTACGCGAATTACATACGGAGTTTTTTTTGTAATTGAATAATTAAAGATTAAAAAGTTAATTAATTAAAATAAATAAATTATAAAAGATTAAAAGAAGTAATCTAAAAATAACAAACAAAACCCTTGGCTTGCCAAATGCAATACGTTCGGCGTATTGTCATTGCTTTAAACTGCAATAAATCATTTTAATCAAGGATTTTTGTTTACACGATTGTTAGAGTGTTAATTATTATTATTAAATATTATTAACTATTATTATTAATATTATTCAATACTTTTTGATTTTTTCTTCCTTGGCTTTTGATGTTTTTTTTTTTAAGTATACTTGACGAAAGGTTTTGATTTAATTGTAGCGACTGTCGCTAAAATTTCGTGTGTTCCGCCCACGATCAATGTAAAATCCAAATCCTTAAATTATTAATTATGAAATTTTTTTCTTGAGCTTACTAAAAAAAAATCATGCTGAGAATATAAGAAGAAATTAAAGTAATGAGTAGTTAAAGCAGTTTTATTTCATCATATTGATGAACATAATTATTGTAATCGTAAAAAAACAAATCTATAATAATAAATTGAGAGAATTTTTTAAACTTACTAATTTTATACAAGTTGGTTTTTTTTATCAATAATTATAGTACGTAAAAACCAACTGGAGCTACTATGGATTAAGATCGTGGACGGGGTACTTATGCCCCTAGCTAAGTCAAGTCGTTGCTTTTAATATTTCTGTTGCTTATATTACTATTATTGTTCTTTATTATTATTATTATTATTATTATTATTATTTTTATTATTAGTGGTGAGAAGTTTTGTTGCTACATATATTCTACTCTGACTAAAAAATTGTAATCAGATTATTTGTGATTTGATTACCATTTTATTCAAAATTGGATTAATATTTTATTACAATTTATTTGAATTATTATATTAATAATAATTTTTGAATTTACAAATTTAAACATAAATGCTTTTTTTTATTTTTAATTCCATTTAAATATTTATTTTTAAAATCATTATTTTTTTAGGGATTTTTAAAAAGTGGTGATGTCTTCCTGTACGGAAAGAACAAGATTACATTGGATAACATTCCAGATTATACTCAGATAGTAGCTAATATAATCCAGATTATACTGTGATATCTGAATTATACTCATTGCAATCTTCCATTTTTGCCAGTAAAATCTCAGATTATACCGCGTAAGATACCACTGGATATAATCCGAGATAGTACCCTGTATAGAATTTGGATTATACTCAGTAGAATCTTGGATTATACCCAGTGATATCTGCGCCATTTTCTTTCTGGCGCCTGCGCGTGAAGTGCTATTTACAATTCATGAATTATAGTCAATCATCAGTATATTGAACAAAAAAAAATATAATTGATGCATTAATTACTGTGTGAACATTTATATTTTGTGATATGTAACAAAATATTTTATAGCCGCTATATCTATATTATTAAGAGAATTAGAAAAATTTTGTCACCAGGATACTCATATGATAAAATCGATTTTTGTAGTGAAATTTAATGTCATTGCAAAGATCTTGACTTGAATTGGTGCATTTTCAAGGTTTCATGTCATTTTTACCAATAGTCAATTTGTGATGATAAGTATTTAGGCTGCATTTGAAAATGCTCTATCTCTAGATACATAATTAAGAAATGACCTTGTATCTTGTGAACTATTGATATTCTTAATAATATAAGCTCACCCCGACAATACACTCATCGAGACCTTTCATTTGAGTACCTACATCAATTTTTTATATATTTATATATATTATATATATGTATATATGAAAAATATATCAAAATGCATGTGGGTACTCAAATGAAAGCTCTTGATGAGTGTAACATCGGGATGAGCTTATACCTTTAAAACGTCAATAGTTAAGCAAGTACAGTACAATTTAACAAAAGTCATTATTTAATAAAGCAAAATCTTCTTTATTTATAGTTTACAAGTAACGACAGTCACATAGTGACTGCAAGGTTGTTAGTAATTATTAAAATTACAAGATATGTAAAAATAATGTACAAGACATGTTTTTACGTTTAGACTTTTGACAATAAGATCTAATTTGTTCAGTCATATGATAATGCTAAGTGCGCAGGCACTAGAAAAAAAAATCACAGAAATATCACTGGGTATAATCCAAATTTTACAGGATACAATCTCGGATTATATCCAGTGGAATTTCACCCTGTATATCTGAGATTTTACTGGGGGGAAATGGGAGATTACAATGAGTATAATCCAGATGTCACTAAGCATAATCTGGAATATTATCCAATGTAATCTTGTTCTTTTCGTGTGTAATCAATAATTTTAAATCCTTAAGTAGTGTTGCGTCTCTTTACTCTACGGAAAAAAAGTCCTTTTTTATTATAAGTTATTCTAAAATATATTTATAAATGTGAATAGGGTAAATACTTACCATTTAAAAATTAATTTTTTTTTTCAATCTTAGCACTCTTATAACTTATAAATAAATTAGAAAAAAATCAAATAAGTCCAGGCCTTATATTATGATTGTATAGACAATATAATTGCAATAAATTACGGTCGCTATTTCCAATAAATAATTCGCGAGTTAATAAATGCTTTAGACACAGTGGCAAGTAAATAATTATTATATAATATAAAATGTGTAAAAGAGTAACGCACATCAATTTATCAGGTCTTCATCTTATTTTAGGCATAGCATATTTTTCTAACATCACAATATCGATAAAAGCCTTGTTTAATAATTATATAAATTAAATTAATAGCATACATTAATAAAATGTAGTGGGAGAGATTATATAAATAAATAATTAAAAATAATAAAGTAGTTAATCTAAGAAAATGTATGCATAGTAGGTAAGAAGAAAAAATAAGTTACTTGTTAAAAGCATATGGAAAAATAAGTACTGCCAGCGTTTATATTTGGCTGACCACAAGGACGTAACGATGCTTGTAGCTAATACTAAATTATATTAATACATTTAAGCGATTAAAAAAAATAAACACCGTTTATATTAAATAATAATTATAGTATTTTTAAACATGCTTCAACATTCGTGTGGTTAAAAAAAATTAAACGAATTTTTTTTTATAAATTTTCCGCACGTTACTCCTTTTTTCCTTAAATTTTCTTAAAAATATTTATATTAAATGATAAAATATAAAATATAATAGAGGATAAAAAGAAACTTAATAATCTATTTGTAATTAATTACAAATAACTAAGGTAAAAGCGCCTATTATTGACACCCTATTTAATTTTATTATTTCATTATCAAAATCTGTTAATAATCACAATTGTTGATATTTCGTGAAAATTTTATGAAAATTAAGTTAGCTGATATTTAAAAATTTTTAGAATTTTTTTTTATTAAAAAAATTATCTAAAAAAAAAAAATTGTAAAAAACTTGAAAAACTGTAAGTACATTTAAAAAAAATTTTTTTTTTGTTCTAATTTAATTATTGGAAAAAAATCAAAAAATTAAAAGCGTTGGCTAACTTCAGTCTAATGACAATTTATGAAAATTAAATCAAAATTAGCCGACATCTAAAAATTTTTATAATTTTTTTTTTTATTGAAAAAATTATTACAAAAAATTAAAAAAAAAATTCATTTGCAAAAAACTTGAAAAACTGTAAGTGCAATTTTTGAAAAATCTCTTTTTGTTCTAATTTAATTATTGAAAAAAAATTAAACAACATCAGCTAACTTTAGTGTAATGACAATTTATCAAAATTAAGTTAGCCAACATCTAAAAATTTTTAGAATTTTTTTATTCAAAAAATTATTAAAAAAAATTTTTTTTAAAATTTCATTTGTAAAAAACTTGAAAAACTTGTAAGTGCAATTTTTGAAAAATCTTTTTTTGTTCTTATTGAATTATTGAAAAAAAAAAAAAATTAAAAAGGCCGGCTAACTTAAGTGTTATGACAATTTTACATATTTTTTAAATTAAAAAATATAAAAATTTAATTCCAAGGTATCAATTATTTACCGCGAAAAAATTTCATTTTTTCAAGTAGGGCAAAACAGCACTGATGGAAGGATTTTTTTATAGTTAAAAATATTTGTTAATATTTAATAAATCATTTATTATAGACCGCTTTTTAGTCTTTAACAAATATTTCTTAGTATTTAAAAAGATTTATTAATATTTAATAAATGAATATCAGATTTATTAAATACAAACAAATCATTTTAAATACTAAGAAATATTTGTTTAATACCAAAGAATGGTCTCTAATAAATGATTTGTTAACTATTAACAAATATTTTTTAATACAAATAAATCCTTCTATCAGTGAGCTTATACGTTTGTAATTTTTAAACAATATCGTTAAGAAAGACTTTATTTAAAAATCCAGATTTCTCAATGTTTTTTTTATGTAATTGCATTGCTTAAAATTATTTTAGATTATTTATAGTCTAAATAACTATATAATTATTGATTTATACTTTATTGAGTTAAAATTAATTTTAAAATAGCGAATGTTAATGATGGGGACACAAAAATTAACTTGCGTCAATTAACGACATAGGCTGTAAGGTAACTCAACCCCCTCAACATACATATCAACGTATTAATGTTTACAAACTGTCATGTGATTTTATAAGAATCAAAGTATTTGAGACTAGAAAAAATTGCTAAAAAAAAACCTGGTAAAAAATATAGAAAAGCTAGGTCTTAAACGAATTAAAAAATAATAAAAATTATTGATAGTTTTGCATTAGTTAGTAAAAATGATTATCGTTAATACAAATTTAACTGTAATAAAAGCCCTGTCAACAATAGGGTCAATGGTATGTCAATAATCGGCTCTTTGAATTTTTTGCGCCGTCAATAATACATACATTCGACTTGTTGGTTTTAAGTTGATATAATAATTATTAAATTTATTGCTATTAAAGTTAATTAATTAAATTACATAAGTAAAAACAATGATTAAGGTGTCCTATAAAAAAAAGTTGACAATATTGATTTGAAACACGATAAAAAAAATTTAAATATTCATGATCACTCAGTGTCAATAATGGGGGCTTTTACCTTAAATAGTAATGGGTAATAAAAAAAAAAAGGAGGAATGGTAAACAGTTATTTATTTTAATATTTTGCTACAGGAGCCAATTTATATAGTATTTTTAAAATAGCACTATGAATGTAATAACAAACATTTAAACTCTATAAATTATCCAATGATATTTCAATTAATTATCAGGCATATGTAATTTATAATTTCATCACATTATGAGTATTAATGAGTAACGAAATTTAAAAGCCAAGGAAAAAAATAATCGAGTGCACTTTAATTTTAATGATAAAAAAGCGCGGAAGATTTCAATCAACTATTTTTTTTTTTCACATGGCATTCGTTGCTAGTCCCAGAAAGACTTAATAATTATGTAATTGCTCAAATGTACAATATTTACTAATTGTGTATCATTTTTTTTCAAGGAATCCGTCTGGTAAAATTCATTAAGAAGACAAACGCGAGCTTTATATTTAAAAGCGTACAACTTATTGAAGAAATAAGTTAATTAGTACTCATTTTTAACCTGACGACGTTGCGTATTACCTTTAGGTGTACTAGCAAAGTACTTGTGCAAATTACGTCCATTAACAATAAATTGTTGCTGTTCACTTTTAATAGAACCTTGCACTGACAGCGGTGGCGTAGAAGCTGGCGTAAGAATTCCCAAATCATCATCACATTCAATAAATTCTGATTTAATGTAACCATGATCTTCAATTGCTGAGACTTTAGTCTTAGAAGAAGAAGTAGAAGAAGACAACGAGGATACCTTTAAAGAAATTTTAGTATCTCCAGAAGAATTACCAGCATTAATTGAAGACAAATTATCAAATTCATTTGCAGTCTTAATTAATGATTTATTTGTTAATTTTATTTGTAATCCTGAAGCGCTGCAAGTGTGCTGTATTGCAGCATGATTTTTTAGGCCGTACGTTGTTTTGTAACTCTTACCACATGAGCACTTGAACGCTTTACGAACCCTAAAATAGTTATCGTATAGTTCTTTACGTCTAATTTATAGACAAAAAAAAAAAAAAGAAAAAAAAAATATTAGAGTAAAAATAAAATTGTAGAAAAAAAATTCCAGAATTTGGCGGTGGAAAATAAGAATTAAATGAACGTACTTGCCGTTGTCTCTATGACCATTTTTAGAATGATACTTGATCCCATTGACATTTTTATAACGCTTTTTACATCCAGGTACTGGACAAACGAATGGCTTATCCGTGTTATTATTGTTCTGATTGATTATTGTTTGACCGACAACCCTGGGAATAAGAAGCGTATAATCGAGTGGCAGTTGATTCTTTCTTCTTAAGTAAGCGCTCCGCTATGCGCCCCAGTACCTGCTCCCATAGCGTAGAATGTAGTCCGATGAGAATTCTTCGGATGTTGCCCACGAGTCATTGCTGTCTTCCTGGTCACTGGTCAAGTCTTCTCCTTCCTCTGCTTCGCTTCCTAAATTACATATTTTAATTAGCTTTTGATCTTCTATTTAAAACAATAAGAAAAATTTGGTCTAAGTAAATTTAATATCATTAGAAAGATTTTGACCTGAATTTGTGCTTTTTCAATGTTTCATATGTTTAACTGGGGCCTAAAAATCAAGTTTCCTACACAGAAAGAAAAATTTCTTGACTAGAGAACAAAATTCTTGGCTCAAGAAAATTTTCGGGTGCCTGAAGGAAGACCAAAATTTTGTTGGCCGAAGTTAAAATTTTTCTTGAAATTCTATTCTTGGTGGAAGTCATTTTTTCTTAATTCAAATTATCATTAATATTTGATACAATAAATTTTTATATTTGATCAAAATTTTTAGATACTTTAGGGAAGCAGCGCCACCTACTTCAGTTAAGAAAAAAATTTTCTCACCTTGAGAAAATTTTTCTCTTGAAAATTTGATACACATTTTATATTATTTTAGCGTGCAATTATACATATTGAATGAAAAAAAAATGATTCAATATTATTTGATCTATTTGACATATTAATCAATAAAAACACTTATGAAAATTTACTTCTATCGAGATATTTAATTTTTTGGAGCAAGAGAGAAATTTTCTCAAGACAAGAAAATTTATTTCTATCAAAAACTACATTTTTTGGAGCAAGGCTGAATTTTTTCAAAACAAGTATTTTCTTGACTTAAATAAATTTTCTTGGATGAAGATACGTATTTTTTAAAGCAAGTAAATTAATTTTGTTGGAATAAGTTAAGTTTCTTGTGACAAAAAAAATTTTTTTTTTCGCTCAAGAAAATAATTAGGAACAAAAATATTTTCTTGGTTCAAGTGAACCGTTTTTTCTGTGTATCTCGTCAAGAGAAATTGTATTTTTAATCCATAATCTTCGTACAAATGTTCAAAAAACATACACTGGTGGCAAGAAGAATAATTATTGAACTAATTAAAAGCACTGCTTAGTAAATTAATTATCAATTTTAGTGAAAAACCCCGTTTTTTAAAACTTATAGTGGAAATAACTGTCAAAATATGGTGATGTGGTCAAGATAACTAAAAATATATACAATTATAGGACTCATTTTTTTTTCAGCCCTGTCATTAAACGTTTATGAAGAACCCTATTCAATATCAAAGCATGATATTGCTTCGTTTAGTTGTAATTAAGACATTTTGATTGGCATTCATACCGAATTTTCCAATTTTGGTCGGTCATATGTTTATTTTTTTAATAAACAGAATTCTTACAGTGACTCTGCGACCGAGACAACGCATGTATGCGTATTAACTTGTAAGTAGTTGATATAACGAAACATGTGCATTAGAAATTTTTTAGAGCTTCTAAAGATGAAATTTTTTAAATAAATTTTTCTTACTATAAAATATTTGTTGAAAAATTTTTAAAAATGAAGAGATGTCTCTCAATTTAAGTATCAATATTATCTATATAATTGAAAGAATAAGGAAAATTTTGTCTCCGGAAAATTTATATGAAAAAATGAATTTTTTCAATTAAATTTAGTATCACTGGATAAGTCTTGACCTGAATATGTATCTTCAATATTTCATATGATTTTCAGCAATAGTTAATTTATTATGATAAATTTTCTGAGTAATTACAAATAGATTCGAATCTCGTGATAAACATCATCTAATTATTTATTTTGTTTTGTCCATGTGAATGTGATTATAGATCGAAAAATTAATTTATATAATTAAGAGACTAAAAAAAATTTTGTATCGGGTATATTTTTATCGAAAAATCATTTTGATATTTTTTCAGCGATAGTCATTTATGATTTAAATAATTGACAGAGTAAAGAAAATTTTGAGACGAGCATATTATTATTTTTAAAGAAATTTTTATAGTTAAATTTGGTATCAAAAAAGTCTTGATAAGAATTAGTACTTTTTGGTTTTATATGTTTTTTAGTAGTCAATTTTTTATATCAAGTTTTTGGAGGAGTTTTGAATAGTTTGTTGGTTCTATAAATTTTTTTGGTTCTATAAATTGACCCTGTGATAGCACCATTATTTTTAAAATTTATTTAAAAAGTACCTAAACTATAAATATATCCAAAAATCATTAAACAAAAGTTCTCTTATTCATAATTAGAATTGTTTCGTCAAATTATTTTCTCTATCATTTAACTGTTATAAAAATTTTAAAAATTGTTAGATGTCTGCTAAATTCAGTGTCGTTATCAATTAAACAATTAAATAAATAAATAACCTGTTGGGGTGACATTTTTACACTTTGTTGCAACTGTAGTTGATTTGGTGCGTGTCAATGTTTTTTCTTTTTCTCTGGTTGAATCCGTGAGGAAACGTAGAGCATAACTCAAGGGTATACATTGTGGTTGCTGTTGTTCAAATTGTTCAACGACCAGTGGATCATAGTCTGCCAATTATAAAAGATAATTATTAAATTGAAATTAATATGAAAATTAATGTAGTACATATTTAATAATTTAAAAAATTTTATAACAAGTAAATTATGGCAAAAAAAAAAAGAAAAAAAAAATTGAAATTTAGAAAAATAAAAATGCAATTTTTTAGAAAAAATCTTTTTGTTAAAGAAATAATATTTTAGAAGAAATCGTTTTGTTAAATAAAATTAAAAATCTGTCAAGAGACAGCTAACTTAAATGTCATAAAATTAATAGAAGTTAATTAGTAAAAAAAAAAAAAAATAAGATAAATAAAATAAATCATAAAAAAATTAAAAAATAATTCTTACTTTTTCTAAACTTTAAAAAAATTTTAAATGTCAGCTGATTTCAGTGTCATTAAATAATATATAATGTAAAAGCCCTCATTATTGACAATTTAAGAGTGATCATAAATATTTGAAATTTTTTATCGAGTTTCAAATCAATGTTGCCAACTTTTTTTGTATAGGACACCTTAAACATTGCATTTACTTATATAATTTAATTAATTAACTTTAATAGCAATAAATTTAATAATTGTTATATCAAAAATAAACCAACAGGTTGAATGTATGTATTATTGACAGCGCAAAAAATTCAAAGAGCCGATTATTGACTTACCATTGGCCCTACTATTGACAGGTCTTTTATTAGTTAAATTTATATTAACAATAATCATTTTTACTAACTAATGCAAAACTATCAATAATTTTTATTATTATAAAATTCGTTTAAGACCTAGCTTTTCTATATTTTTTACCAGGTTTATTTTTAGCAATTTTTTCTAGTCTCAAATACTTTGATTCTTATAAAATCACATGACAGTATGTAAACATTAATACGTTGACATGTATGTTGAGGGGGTTGAGTTACTTTAAATTATGGCCTATGTCGTTAGTTGACGCAAGTTAATTTTTGTGTCTCCATCATTGACATTTGCTATTTTAAAATTAATTTTAACTTGATCAAGTATAAATAAATGATTATATGGTTATTTAGACTATAAATAATTTAAAATAATTTTAAACAATGCAATTACATAAAAAAAACATTGAGAAATCTGGATTTTTAAATAAGGTCTTTCTTAACGATATTGTTTAGAAATTACAAACGTATAAGCAGTTTCGGACCACTTGAAAAAATGAAATTTTTTTATGATAATAAAGTTAGCAGATATTTAATAATTTTTAGAATTTTTTTTTAACAAATAAATTATGGCAAAAAAAAATTGACATTTAAAAATTTTAAAAAATAAAAAATGCAATTTTTTAAAAATAATTTTTTGGAGCAAATTTTTTTGTTAAAAAAAATTAAAAAATTCTCGTGACTGCTAACTTTAATGTCATAATTATTTTGCGGTAAATAGTTTATACCTTGGAATTAAATTTTACTATTTTTTAATTTTAAAAATATGTAAAATTGTCATGAAATATCAACAGTTGTGATTATTACCAGATTTTAATAATGAAATAATAAAATCGGGTGTCAATAGTGGGGGCCCTGTCAATAATCAGAGCTTTTACCTTAATAATTATTAATTATTAATAAAAAATTATTAAATAAAATGTACTCCTGTGCCCAGATAACCTCTAAAGTAAATTCTTATTGCTACAAAAATAAACAAAGAAACAAAAATGACAGCTAATATAATTAATATATAAATAAAAAAAATTACCGATATGTGTTTCTTCGATATGTTGAATTAGATGTCCTAAACTTTTAAATGTTAAACCGCAAGCATTAAATTTACAAACGTTCAACATAAATACTGCCATAGCAATGATGAATTGAAGGTGAATAGTCAAGTTGACAATTAGCACATCATCCTAATTGTCACCACAAATCACACTAACCTTAAAAACAAATAAATAAATAAATAAAACAATTAATACAATTAATTTACTGTCACTAAAATAAAAACTCACTTAAAAATATCAAAAATGCACAATTGAAAATTAGGATGTCATTTGACTTTTAGCTGACTCTGAAAAACAACCGAAGGTATTCGTGAGAACTCGTGTAATCTTCGGTAAAACTCGTGCTCGTTCGGTTGGTCGATAAAATGACCTAGGGTGTGGTAAGTGGTGAAGGTGAGACAAGACGGAAATCGTGATATTCCGTTGGGTAGTGGGCTCTTGATAGGCGGCAGTAAACTCCATTCGTGGTTCGTCTCTTCACCAGTTCAACATTCCAAAAGCCGGGTTACCTTTCCTGTTCCTCGACACTGCTCTTTGGTAAGTCAGCGCCTGTCGACTAGCAAGTGAGTAATACAAATCAAGTTTAAAAAATTATTTAATGATAGTATTATTAATAAATTAATGTCAGTGGATTTATTGTAATTATTTATTATTATTTATCCGTACGTGTTTTGTGGGAGTTTATGTTACTGAGTTAATTATTTATTGAGTGTAGATTTACAGAATAGATCTAAACGGAAATCGGCCATTTTATAGTGTGCCGACAACTCGCATGTTGGATTTACTTACGTATTAATTTATTCTATTTTAACATAAAATTTATAAATTTCTTTTTTTTATCCTCAATATTTTTTTAATTCTGTCACCAAAACTTTAATTCTCCCGTAATTTTTTCAATTCTGTTACGTAATCAATAACTTCTTAAAATCTCAGTAAGTTTTACTATTCAGTCCACCAAAGATTAAAATTACGCCGTGCCTCGTATACCATTGATAGCCGGGCATTTTTTTTTCTCAATTAAATTTTTTTTTTTTAATTTCAGGCATTTCAGTCAAAAAGACATCCAACTAAAATAAACAACATCAAAATGTTTGCCTGCACCCGATTCATTGCCCCAGTTGCCAGATCGGCTGTAAGTATTATTCTAAAAAAAATTCTATCAAAAGTAACCTCCACATTGTCTTGGTTACATAACTCTCAAGAAAATGAAAAAAATTAATTTAATTATTCCATTTTATTTTTTACAGTTAGTTGCCAGTAGCAAAAGCTACGTACGTCCTCTCACCAGTGGAGTAATCAGCCAAAGTCAATCTTTCGCAGAAAGTCAAAGCCAAACTCCAGCCTGTTTAGTAAGTCGCTTTATAAATTTAACAATTGCATAATGAGAAGTTATATAACCTTACGCTCTTTGGTTATGTTATTGATTTTATAGTTTATCAATTAAAAATTAAACTATTTGACATAACTTGACTTAATATAACTTGATTGTTAATTGTAATTAATATTAATTTAAATATTATTTCAGAGCCCAGTCATCCGTAGCTTCCAGACCTCCGCGGTAAGCCGTGACATCGATTCAGCTGCCAAATTCATTGGCGCTGGCGCTGCCACTGTCGGAGTCGCTGGATCTGGTAAATAATATAATTTAATTAAAAAATATAAATCCCAATTAATATATATTCTCTTATGCAACAATTACATAATATACACATTTTATTTCGGCTCTTAATTATTTACAAATGGAGTCCACCCTATTTTTGGCCATATCTAGGTGAAAAATTAACATTTGTTAATTTTTCCTTATTTTGCTTGTTTTTTCGCCGGATTTATGATAAAAATATCGAGAAAGAAAAAAAATAGAAATTTTGATAGCTTTTTTGCCTTCAAAAGTTGGAAAAAATTTTGGCTCATTTTTTTTTGGATAAAATTTTTGTTTGATGTTTTTGATATATATATATATATTTTTAAAAGTACATAAAAAAGCGAGAAATTTAAAAAAAAAATTAAATATTACAATTTTTTTTTTTAAGAAAATTTATAAAATTTGTTAAAACTTTTTTTTTTTTAATGTATTTTTCCAAAAAAAAAAATATCAAAATTTTCAGAAAAAAATTTCATTCAAAAAAATGAAAATTAAAATGGTGCACCTTATTTTTGACCATATCTAAGTGAAAAATTAACATTTTTTAATTTTTTTTCTATTCTGTTTGTTTTTACCGCTCATTTATGATAAAAAATATCGTGAAAGAAAAAAAAAATTTCGATAGATTTTTTACCTTCAAAAGTTGGAAAAAATTTTGGTTCGTTTTTGGATGAAATTTCTATTTAAAAAAAACGAACAATTTAATTAAAAAAATAGTTGAATATCACAAAAAATGGTGCACCTTATTTTTGACCATATCTAAGTGAAAAATTTAACATTTTTTAATTTTTTTTTCTATTCTGTTTGTTTTTACCGCTCATTTATGATAAAAAATATCGTGAAAGAAAAAAAAAAATTTCGATAGATTTTTTACCTTCAAAAGTTGGAAAAAATTTTGGTTCGTTTTTGGATGAAATTTCTATTTAAAAAAAACGAACAATTTAATTAAAAAAATAGTTGAATATCACAATTTTCTAAAAAATTTATAAATTTGTTAAATTTGTGGTAATCAACTTTTTTTTTTAAATTATTAAAAAAAAAATTTCTTTCACAATTGAAAATTAAAATGGTGGACTCCACTTGTAAATAATTAACTAAGCTTCTATGAATCCCGGAAAAAATTTTTAAGTTATGAAAAATTCATATTATTTCATTAAAATTATTATAAAATAATAATATTTTTTTTTGTAACAAAAAATGGAGCGATTATTCTAGGGGGGGTGCTTGTTTTTCAGAAAAATTTTGGGTGTGACGTCAATAAAATTATTTCAAATATAGGTGTATGAAAAAATTTCAAATTCTGAAAAATTCATATTTATTTATTCATTCACTTGAACGCCAATCGGTATTATAAAACAATTAGTATATTCCTTAAATTATAAAATGAAAATTATAAATTTTTAAATTCTGAAATTTATATCATTAAAATTATTATAAAATAAAAATTCTAGATATTATAAATTATTATTTTTATTTTATAATAAATTTAATGAAATAATATAAATTTTTCATAACTTTAAAATTTTTCCGGGTCTATTTTCTCCTATTACCGCTCCTATCACGTTAACTTGGACTTCTCTTGCAGGCATTGGCATTGGGCTAGTATTTGGATCATTGATAATTGGCTATGCACGAAATCCTACCCTTAAACAACAAGTCTTTTCCTATGCAATCCTTGGATTTGCTTTATCCGAAGCAATGGGTCTTTTTTGTTTGATGATTGCTTTCCTTTTACTTTTTGCATTTTAATTTATCCTTAAAAATCATCCTTCATCCATGAGTAAAATTATCCTTCCTTAAATTAATTGATATTAATCGATATTAATAAATAATTATACTAATTATTAAAATTTTTTTTTAGGTGCTGGAATCGGATCAGTATTCGGTTCATTGATCATCGGTTACGCCAGAAATCCATCTCTTAAACAGCAGCTGTTCTCATATGCCATCTTGGGTTTCGCCTTATCCGAGGCTATGGGTCTCTTCTGTCTTATGATGGCTTTCTTGCTGTTGTTCGCCTTCTAAGCCGTTATCCTCCATATGAATTACCGATAGTTTTAGTGCGTCACTGCCAAGACACCGTCATCTGGCTTGAAACAATAGTTCGACGACGGCTGTCTGTGGTTCCAAGGGGGTCCATGAAATTATTAAAGCCGATGACTCTTGGTAGTACTGGTTGGAGCGCGACGGTTCAACAAATGATTTATTAATATTAAATATTAATTATTGAAATAAAAATTTGATAAATAAAAACGGGGCTGCTGATTAGTTTTACAACATCTTAAAATTAAATCAGTAAGAGCCGTCTAATTCCATCCAGTGGCTCGTAATTATTTCATGGCCTACCAATTCATGTAGCATAACTCACATTGTTATAAAGTAATTCAATTGCAGTGTAATAATATTTAACAATAATTATTAAACATTTAGAAGGTTTATTATAAAAAAAGAAATTTTTCAAGATAAGTCTTACATAATTTTGCATATAGTTCACAATGCAAAGCACGTACGCGCTCAATAATCAATTATAATTATTATATTTAATTGCAATGTTTCTTTTTGCGCTGTACGGTTTTATTGTTAATTACTATTAATCAATTGGAAAATTAAGTTAAACTCATTTGTTAATTTTGAAACGATTCATCATTGTTAAACCGTCGCGTACGCACGTTTTTGCGGTAACTCTGCGAGGAATATGTACAGTAATATCGAAATAAACATCCAGTCGTACGAAAAATATTAATTACTTTACTTGTTATTAATAATTTTAAAATTACTCCTTACCTCTCCATTTATTTTTTTTTTTATAAAACAAAATTTATTTATTTATTTATATTTATTCAAAGTTATCGATAATAAAAATGTTGTAACTTGCTTTCTGGAATTTTTATTGAGTTAAACTTATTTTACAAAGTTTTCAGAATAAGAAAAATTTTGTCTTCAGGATAATCATATGATAAAATCGGTTTTTTTTTAGTCAAGTTTAGTGTCATTGCAAAGGTCTTGACTTCAATTTGTGCCTATTCAAGGTTTTATTTCATTCTCTTTAATTACATAATTAACAAGAAATGACCTTGTATCTTATGAATTATTGACATTTTTGAAGATATAAGCTCATCCCGATGTTACCTTCATCAAGACATTTCATTCAAGTACCCACATCAATTTTTCATATATTTTATATATTTATATATATGTATATATGAAAAATATATTAAAATGCATGTGGGTACTCAAATGAAAGCTCTTGATGGGTGTAACATCAAGATGAGCTTATATCTTTAAAAATATCAATATTTAAGAAAATACAGTCCAATTCAACAAAAGTCATTATTTAATAAAGCAAAATTTTATTTATTTATAGTTCACAAGTCAAAGTAGTTACATAGTGACTGCAAGGTTGCTAATTTTATAATTATGGAAATTAAAATTTCTTAAATTTTACTGGAATTAATTTTAAAATCAGTCGTAATAATTTTCTAAGTAAATTTATTTATCTTAAAGTAATTGTATCAAAAATAAACTTATTAAATAAGAAATCAATATCTGAACTATTTATAAATTTATTATATAAAATATGAGCATTTATACATTTAGAAAAACTTTCTTTTGAAAAAAATGAGAAATTAATTTGTTGAATATTTTAAACAATTTTACTTGTTAGCTGAAAAAATAAAACCTTTTTTTGCAGTAACTTTTTTGTTAAAAAAATTTTTTTAGATAAAAATTTGTAAATTATTTTTTTTTAATCAAAAAAATTTTTTTTCAACAAAAAAGTTTAAGAAAAATTTTTATTCTGCTAAGAAATAAAATTTGTTTAAAATTTTTATCAAATTAGTTTTTTATTACATTGTTAATTTTTTTGCAAATCAATTTTTTCTCTCAGTACAGTCAAACTCATTCGTAGTATTTAATTTTTGATTTTATTTTTAATGACTTACTGATTCAATTTTAAAATTAGTTTTTATTTTTTTGTAAAAGTTTATGAATTGCAAATCCTAGAAATTTCAATTTAAAAGTAAATACTTTTTTTTTTGTAAATTTGTTTAAAAATATGGACACATTTTTAAGATTTTTTTTATTATAAAATAAATTTTAAGAAAATACGTTTTTTCAAAACATTTAATTTTTTTAATCAGAATAAAATTACAAGTGTCAAACAACTAGGCCAGTATCAATAACTGGGTCTTTTACCTTTCTTTAATTTTCATAAAAAAAAAAATAAAAAGTGTAAATTTTTAAAAAATAATCAAAATTTACAAAATTTTCAGATGTCTACTAATTTCAGTAAATTAAAAAAATAAACTAAAATATTTATTATTTTAAGAATCACACAATTAGGTTTAAAATAATAAATAAAGCTTTTTTATCTTCTTAAATCATTTATTGCTCCTTAACTCCAAAATAATTTTTTTTATAATAAATTTTAGTTATTTTAACAATATTATTGTTTTTAATTAGCAATTAGTTAAAAAAATAAATTTTTTAATTTTTATAAAAAACAAAAATTTTAATCAATTTTATTTTTTAGCTGAAATAAAAATTTTTCTCACAGTAACTTCACGGAAAGAACAAGATTATACTGGATATAATCCCAGATTATACTGAGTGAAAAAAATTTCAGATAGTAGCTAGTATAATCCAGATATTATTCAGTATAATCTGGATTATACTAGCTACCATCTGAAATTTTTTCCGCATTAGATGTCACTGAGTATAATCTGAGATGGTATCCAGTGTCATCTTGTTCTTTCCGTGTTTCTTCTTGAAAAAGTTTTTTAATTTGGGAAAAATAAAAAAAATAAAAATACAATTACAATCATGATTTTATTCAATTAAACTTACAATTATACAGATAATAAAATACACCAAAATAAATTACGTTCCAACATTACTAGTTACAGTTTCTCCGACATTATTAGAGGGTAAAACATTAAGTTGCTGAAGCAATCCTTCTCGTTCCCTGAGACTAGCCCAAGCTTTTTCCTGTTCTTTTTTAGTCAAAGGAACCTTGCGTTGCTTTGACATAATTAATTTATTATAATGCTCCACAACTTCACTATCAATAGCGCTGATTTTCCGTTTAAGCGCTTGCCGCTTACTCTCTTCTTGAGCAAGACTCAACAGTCGTTTCAACTGAACCACATTGTGACTAGATAAGGTCAAAAGATCCTGCTGACAGCGTTTAATCTCCGCAAGAATTTCATCATCTTCATTATTCTTCCTGTGCGAATCCGGTTCTAAGATCCCTTGCTCCACGAGTTCCTTGTGCATGCGCATCTCCAGGTTCATTGAATTTTGAATAGAGAGATCTCGTAGCACCGGAGGATCACCTTCTCTAAATACCTTGCTGTCACTATTAGGAGTATAGACATTTTCTTCCATCAGCGCTGAGACTAATCGTTGAGTCAGTGGACCAGCAATGCTAGTCGCTTTTTTGTCGACCTTCGACATCAACGTGGACACATCTGACCGGTTTTTTTTCTTATCACGATTTACATTGCTCGCTTCTTCTTCTTGCAGCAGGTCATTGTGCGCCCAAGTGTAGCTGTAGTGTCTTCCTAGCGGGGGAATTTTTTTGAACTCTCCAAGATCTGAGTGAGTTGCTATCAGTTCTTCCAGGAGCTTTATGTCATCTGGCATAATATCAGCACAGTAGGAATCAACAGACGCCCAAAATTTATTGGTCGTGTCATTTTTAGGCAGCAATAATTTTGGAACATCTGTTTTAGATCCTTCAACTCTAACTATTTCATGCGGATTAGGTACAATTTGATTTGCTGAGTTACCTGCTACAAGTGCCTTAGCTTTCAGCAATTTTGTTGACAAAGGAGACTGTCCTTTGAAGTACGTGTCTTTAATACGCGATTTTTCATCGCGTAATTTTTTTTCAAAAGACAAACCTTTGCCGCTCTTGGACCGTTTGTCCCGTCTTTCTTCGGCGGACGTCAAACATGTTATTTCTTCTTGCAATAAGCGACTCCGCACCACCACTGATGACAACAGAGTCTCCAATTCTAGCTGGAGAGTATCCAAATCTTCCATTCCAACACTGTCTTCATTTGTACGCTGAAGAATACTTGTGTAACGAGGTAATAATTTACTATTCTCAGATACTTTTATTACAGACAGTGCAAATGACATTTCAATCCCGTCAGAACTTGTTTCTGCTGCTTGGACTGGCGCTTGGGATTTATTTTCACGAACTTTGACAGGTGTCTTTTTTAAATTTAATTTACCTTTCCCGGACATGATTAAATTTTTCATCTAAAAAATTGACAGATTTTTTATTTATTTATTTTATCCTAATTATTTAACATTGTTTGTTAAACTTTTATTTTAACAGATCTATCACTTTATTTTAGGTTAGAATCAATGTGTCATGATTTTTTATTAAACAGTTTTTAAAAAATATAAAATAAATCACTTATTTTAATTGTCATTTAATTATTTAACTAATTATTTAAGAATTTAAGATTTGTAAATTTATTTATTGATTGTAAAATTACTTTTTAACAACAACAACAAGCAATCTGCTAGATGCTGTTAATGACTATTCGCCATTTTGAAAACACAAATTAAGCGGGAAAATTGTAAAAATTAATTTAAGTAATATTTGGTCATTTTAAGAACTTTTTTTAGTAAATAAATTATCAAAAAAAATGAATAAAAAAATTGACGTAGAAATTTTTATAATTTACAAATGCAATTTTCTAATGAAAATTAATTTAGCAGATATTTGATAATTTTAAGAATTTTTTTAACAAATAAATTATGACAAAAAAAAATTAGAAAAAAAAATTGACAGGTAGAAATTTTAAAAAATAAAAAATGCAATTTTTTTGGAAAAAATCTATTTGTTAAAAAAAATTAAAAAATAGTCAAGTGACTGCTATTAAAGCTAACTTTAATGTCATAATTTTTCGGAACAAACTCATGAAAATTAATTTAACAAATATTTGATGATTTTAAGAATTTTTTTAATAAATAAATTAAGTCAAAAAAAATGAGTAAAAAAATTAACGTAGAAATTTTAATAAATTAAAAATGCAATTTTCTAAAAATAATTTTTTCGCGACAAATTTATGAAAATTAATTAATATATTTAATAATTTTAAGAATTTTTTTAACAAATAAATTATGCCAAAAAAAATTATTAACAATAATTGACATGTAGAAATTTAAAAAAATTAAAAATGAAATTTTTTTGTTAAATAAAATTAAAAAATTGAGACAGCTACCTTGAATATCATGGGAAAATTTGAAATAAACTAAAAATTTACCAATAGAATAAGAAATAGTTATTATATTATTTTTATACACAAATTATAAACACCAAATATACTCTACATATGTAAATAAACATTTAGGGTCGATAGAAATTACTTCAACGATGTTTTTGGGGGTGATGATGCTCTTGTTGATAAGCTAAAGCACGATTATATTGCAAAAAGAAACGTTTTCCGTGTTCGAAGCTTGCAATCATAATGGCACAAGCTGGTGCTACTTTTATTATTCTAGGCGTTAGTCCGGTAAAAAGGCCTTGAATTCCATTTTGCTGGTAAATTCTTTTTACAATATTTGTAAAACTACTGCTATTGTTTTTTCTAGGTTTTTCTGAAAAATAAATAAATTAATTTTTTACTTTCTATGAAACAGTATTTTATAGTGAGAGAAAAAATTTGTGACAAAAAATTAATTTGTTAAAATTTTATTTTTTAGCTGAAGAAATACAAATTTTCATCACAGTAAATTTTTTTTTGAACAAATTTTTTCTTGATTTGGAAAAAAAAAAATTAAATCTACAATTTGTGAATTTTCATTCAAAATTGTTTTTTTTCCAAAATCAATAAAAAATTTTTTCACCAAATAAGTTACTATTGGAGAATTTTTATTAACTAATTAATTTTTCGTCAAAACAATGCTCATTTTTTTCAATAGAAAATTTTTCTCTCACTGTACAGCTAATAATCTTTTCTAAATAAATTAACGAATAGAACCCTGACATCAATTTTAGTTAAAATATTGGTTAAAAATAATGGAGCACTTACTCAATTATTTATAATTAATTTAACGAAAATTATTTCAAAGTAAAATCCACGTTTTTTTTGACAGTAAAATATGAAAAAACAATTTTTTCTATTTCATGACAAATTTATGATAGTAATTATTCAAATATACTCAAAAATAAATTTTTAAGCTCTTTAATGTTAAGAAAAATTTCACATTAACCGAAATCATTACTAAAATATGTCTATGTAAGTCTAGTAATTTTTAATAATTTGTTTTTTTATATCTTAAATCTAAAAAATTTCAAAAATGTCAATTTTATTTTTGTTGGCATTATTTTGCGATTATTTTTTTTTTTTTTTTTTTTGAGAAATTGATATTTTTTAATTTTTTGGTAATTATTCTATTTTTAAACTTTTAAAAAAAATATATATTGTTAAAAATGAATTTTAAAAATTATTTCTATGGGTTGACATACTGTGGTTTGTACTTCAAAATAATTACTTGAATATGAATGAAATAACAGAGTTGATATTTTAAATTATCTTAAAAATAAATATAAAACAAATTATATCATCACTAACACTTAAGGTAGTTGTCACGGTACAATATTGTCAAAATATTAGAGATTATACGTGCCGCAAAAGTATATGAGCTTGTAGCTAAGTAATTCATAATTTTTACACAAGACTGTATCTATGAAGACGCAACCCATACAATTGTTCCCGTCCAACTCCGTAAAAATATACTTTTTCATAAATTCTTGAACTTTAATCGGTTATTTATAAATAATTAGACGGTCAAATTTTTTTTTTTATTTTTTTTTAAACTCACAACAAATACATTAAAAAACTGTCAGTTTTTTTAGAGTTTCTGACAGTTTTTTTTTTATAACTATGAAACTGGTATAAAACCGCAGTGAGCGTATGCAATCAATGTTAAATATCCAATTTTTAATTGAATTGATTTCGGGTTATAGGTAGTTAATCGACTTAAGGGTAAATTTTAAGGGTAATTGTATCATCATGTCCTTAATAAGTATATAAAAATTTAGAATTTTCTGACGGTATGCCTTAACCACGACAACTACCTCAAATAGCAAGTGTATGGTTTAGAACATGTCATACTTTTTATTAACTAATAGCCTTATTTGTCAGAACAAATAAACTGTTATTAAGTGAATAATCATAAATTTTGTATAAATATTCCAAATTCTAATTATGAATCTTTTAAAAATTACCTTCATAAATATTTAAAAAAATAACTTGATCAATTGATGAGTTCTAATATTTCTCAGGTATCAATGTAAAAAATGAATTAATTTTAATTAAAATTTATAATTACCAGTATAAATTCTTTTTTCGCCCATTTCTATTTGCTGGTGGGTTTTAACTACATCAAAGGGTATCGTTAAAAATGCAGCAATCTGTAAAATATAAGATTATTTAAATTTTCTCCTTTGTTATATGAAATTTTAACTAAATATTATACTTACTGAACCAGCAAGTGCACCAGCTGTAAAATTGAAAGAAAATGTATGTTGTTCAGGAGGAAGTAGTTTCTTAATAGCTTCATAGCCACACCAGTAAATAGCACTAAATGGCACATCCCGGAATAAAGTTGAGCTTAAACCCATCCATAATCCTGATATTCCACCGTATTTCACAACTGTCTTTAATCCTTCGCCAATTTCTGTTGACATTAATTCAAGTAATTAATCTTCTATATAATTAAGAGAAAAAAAATAAAAAAATGCTTCTATAAATTTTCACTAACAACTTTTTTTAATTTTCACATGAAATTTTTTTTTATAATAATTTCATTACTATATAATTCTAAAAAAATTTCTGATGTCCGTCAACTTCAGTCCCATAAAAAATATTATTGATAATTTTTTTTTTTTTATCTATTATCTGTCATTGAAATTAGCAGACACTTGAGAATTTCTTAATTTTTCTTAAACAATAAACTAAGTCTAGAGAATTATTTTTAAAAAATTGCATTTGGAATTTTTTAGAGCTTTTAAAGACAAAGTTTTCTAAATACATTGTTTTGCTATAATTTATTTGTTAAAAAAATTTGAAAAATGATCAGATGTCTCTCAATTTCAGTATCAATATTATCTATATGTATAATTGAAAGAATAAGGAAAATTTTGTCTCCGGAAAACTTACATCATGAAATAAGTTTTTTAAATTAAATTTAGTATCATTAGAAAGTTTTTGGTCTAAATTTGTGACTTTTAAATGTTTCATATGCTTTTCAGCAACAGTAAATTAATTATTGTAAATTTTTGAAAATCACCAGAAAAGTCTTGACAAGAATTAGTGCCTTGATTTTATATATTTTTTAGTAGTCAATTGTTTATGTTAAGTTTTTGGAGTAGTTTTGAATGGTTTTTTTTTTGTGTAATTTTTTTTTTTCTGTGTAATCCAGTAATTAATTCTGTGATATCATTATTATTTTTTAAATTTTTGAAAAAATGCCCAAGCTCTGTATAGTGTGATTATAAATATAAAAAAATCATTAAGCTAAAGTTTCTTCTTTATAATCATTAAGCCAAAGTTTTTTTGTTCATAGTCGGAGCTACAAGTAGACGCAATGTTTCATATTTTATTGTTGATAAGTAAGTAATTAGATTAATAGAGTTAATAATAAAGCAGCTAATCTTTACTGTTATGACAATTTAATGAAATAAATTTTTCTATTGTTTCATTTCAACAACACAATATAATTTTGAATATACTTATCAAAATTTTTGTTTGATGAATATTTTAACTGTGTAATTTAAAATTTACAAGTAAAAATATCTCGTTTATATGTAAAAATTTCTTGAGATTGATAATAGTGTCATTTGTAAAAAAATATACACAATGCTTTTCAATGATTCGTACCGGTCAAGAATTTTACGGAAAATGGAGACATCAAAATTTTGACAACTCTAAGTAAAAAAGTCACTAAATAAAAATTTTTACATAAATATTATATTGGTAATTATAAAAAAAATATTTGTCCAAAAAAAGGATGATTTAAAATTTCGATAATAATAAAGGTAGTAATGTAAATATTTAGTTACCAAAAAAATTGGAATTAATTTAAAAACGATAAGCATAAAATTATGAAATTTAAAAATAAGATATCCGGAAAAAATGGAAAAAAATAAATTTAGACAAGTCAATAAAAAGACAATTGAAAATTTAGAAATATAAAAAAGTAGACAGTCTTAATTATTCGTTAACTTAAAAAATGGACATCTCTAAGTATAGACCAGAAAATTTAGATATCTTTAATTTTGGACATCTCTAAATATTTACAAGTATAAATTCTTACAATATATAAGAAAGACGATTAAAAACGTAGTAATCATACAAAATAAGCACTAAGGAATTTAAAATACAAAAAATTGATTTGAAAACTAAAAATTAATTATTTTCCTGTGACCGCTGCTCCAGGAAGTTATACAGTTATTTGCGATCGATTGTCCTGTAATTTTTAAAACACATCAAGATTTTGCTTTTAATCTTGGTATAAAATATTTAAGTCCACATAAATATTTATTCTTGACCAGTACGAAGCATTGTACTAATGTTGACTAAAAGATTTAAATTTAAATTCAAAGAAACTTTATTGAATAAAAATTTTCTATAAAAAAAGTTTGAAAAATTCAAATGTGCATGCCTTGAGCGCTCATGTTTTATATAAAATTAAATATTTGTTAATTTATTTTTAATTTCATGCCTACAGTAATTATTTACGATGCGAATAAAACACCCTTACGTATTCCGTCATATCAACTAAGGTAAAAGCCTCAATAGATGATCACGTACCAGTAATTAATTTACCAAGCAGTGGTTTTAATTAGTTCAGTAAGCATTCTTCTTGCCACCAGTGTATTTTTTTTAAACATTTGTACGAGGATTATGGATTAAAAATACAATTTCTCTTGACGAGATAGGAAACTTGATTTTTAGGCCCCAGGGCCTCGAGGCATGCAATAATTAAAAATAATTTGAAGAACGTTTGTACCACTGGTACTTAAAAAAATTCGACCATTTGGCTCCGACTCATATTTGAATACCATGAATATAACTCCTTATTCGATAATTATTTTTACTCATTTTGCTAATAATAATTCAAATTTAAAAACTATTTCAAGTCTTAATATAAAATTAAAGAAAATACCTCTATAACTCAATTTTTGGGACTGCATTTTAGTTCTTATAAGTTCCAAGGGGCTAACCAATGTAGCAGCCCATATTCGCGCGGTAGCTCCCGCGACAATTGGTATCCAAAACGGCTGTGTTTGATGTATACGATGTTTGTTAGAATTTCTGTTATAGTAATCCTTGAGATTCAATCTTAGTTGTTCATAAGATACAAAATATACAACAGTAGCAGGTACAGCGAGAACTAGGGTTGGACTGAGACCGCTCCAAAGTGAAAAAAATCCTTCTCTTTTAGATATTTTTACAAGTGCGTCCTATCAATTAAAAACAAACAAAAAAGTAGAATTCATTTAATAAATTTTATTAAATTAAACATCTTAATAATCAACTTACAACTGTTCCAGTAAATTTTCCATTTTCTCTCATCCAAGTCGGTAGTTTTCCATTACACGGGCAAAGATGGTCCATTAATCCATTACAATATACGAAACATTTATTTGATAACATTGCTTTTTGTTGAGCTTGTAGTCGAGTTTTAACCACATCCAAGGGTGTCACTATTATTTAATTTAATTAGTTGACATTAATTTTTTTAATAACAAAAAACATATTTTGCAATATTATTTATAACACTGTTAATTTTTTCCAGGCATCGCCAAATAATCTTATTTCTGTGCAATTTTCGAGCAAATTTTTCAAAATTTTAAATATGACAATAAAATTAGCAGTCACTCAACAATTTTTTAATTTTATTTATCAAAAAAATTTTTTCCAAAAAATTATTTATAAAAAATTGCAATTTTTTTTTAAATTTCTAAATATCAATTTTTTTTCTAATTGTTTTTGTCATAATTCATTTGCTATAATATTTTTTAAATTATTAAATATATGCTAAATTAATTTTCACATATAAAATTTATAATTTATGAAAATTAAGTTAGCCGACATTTAAAAATTTTTATAACTTTTTTTTATTGAAAAAATCATTACAAAAAAATAAAAAAAAAAATTGCACGTCTAAAAAACTTCAAAAACTGTAAGTGCAATTTTAAAAAAAAATTTTTTGTTCTAATTTGATTGAAAAAAAAAAAAAAATCAAAAAATTTAGAACGTCGGCTAACTTTAATGACATTTATAATTTACATCTTATAATTTAAGGAATATAAAAATTGTTTTATAATACCGATTGGCGTTCAAATGAATAAATGAATGAGTAAATAAATAAATAACGTATATAAAATAATTACCAAAAACTGAAGTCACAAGTGCACCAGTACATGATGCAATCATTTGTTGGTAAGGTTTAATACGGTACTTTGGATCATCAAAATCAATTGTAGCTGTAGTTTCTTTTGACAAACCCATTTCAACAATTTATTTTTCAATATGACATAAAAATTATAAACTAACGATGGATCAATCCACTATTTTTATTATTTCACCGGCTTGAAGAATCAATGTCACAACTTGAGAAATAAAATACTATTAATTATTGACAAACACTTTAGTATTATTATCATAATTGTTTATGCTTTTAATTATATAAAAAATAATATTGGAAAGTGATAAAAATGTTTCATACATACCAAAAAATAAAAAAATAATAACGATGGCGGAATTTCATGCAATGTGACCAATATGCTTGAAGATAATGGTTAGTACAGATGATTTAATCATCTATATGCATGGTATATTTATCTACAATCTATGTGTAAATTTATTAGAAATTCCGTATTGATTGAAAAATTTTCTTATAAATTGCCAAAAGATAATAACTCAGTAAATTGTTGGTTTAATTTTTTTTTATTAAGACAGTCAAGTATTTTTTTGATACTGTATAAATAGATATTTAAATTTTATCTCAAATGGAATGTTTATAAAAAATTTTCCTGTAGCGAAGTGTTTTATTTGGATGGTTAGTGTAGAATTTTATTGACAGACAGCAGCACCTCCTTGAGGATAATGTTTAAAATTTTACCCGCTTTTTCATTAGAGACATCTGCCGGCTTGAAATTTTTTTTTTTTAGGAAATCCTTTCGCTCCAGTTGAGTCGAAACAATTGTAGTAGTCAATACTTATACGATAAATTAAAAAAAGAAACCCATAAAAATTCCTAAAATTAAATAATAAATAGTATATGAGGCATTAATCCTTGAAATTTTGAAAATAAAAAAAAAAAGCCATTAGCCGCCCCGGAACTACCCCTCCAGCCCCCCCAAAGTTTTACCCTTATTATATAAAAATTCAGAAAAAATCGTTACAATGGCCCTTTGAAGCTGGCGATTTTTTGTAGGACTCATACAATACCCCCACACAATATGAAAAATCATCAAGCCATTAGCCGCCCCGGAACTACCCCTCCAGCCCCCCCAAAGTTTTACCCTTATTATATAAAAATTCAGAAAAAATCGTTACAATGGCCCTTTGAAGCTGGCGATTTTTTGTAGGACTCATACAATACCCCCACACAATATGAAAAATCATCAAGCCATTAGCCGCCCCGGAACTACCCCTCCAGCCCCCCCAAAGTTTTACCCTTATTATATAAAAATTCAGAAAAAATCGTTACAATGGCCCTTTGAAGCTGGCGATTTTTTGTAGGACTCATACAATACCCCCACACAATATGAAAAATCATCAAGCCATTAGCCGCCCCGGAACTACCCCTCCAGCCCCCCCAAAGTTTTACCCTTATTATATAAAAATTCAGAAAAAATCGTTACAATGGCCCTTTGAAGCTGGCGATTTTTTGTAGGACTCATACAATACCCCCACACAATATGAAAAATCATCAAGCCATTAGCCGCCCCGGAACTACCCCTCCAGCCCCCCCAAAGTTTTACCCTTATTATATAAAAATTCAGAAAAAATCGTTACAATGGCCCTTTGAAGCTGGCGATTTTTTGTAGGACTCATACAATACCCCCACACAATATGAAAAATCATCAAGCCATTAGCCGCCCCGGAACTACCCCTCCAGCCCCCCCAAAGTTTTACCCTTATTATATAAAAATTCAGAAAAAATCGTTACAATGGCCCTTTGAAGCTGGCGATTTTTTGTAGGACTCATACAATACCCCCACACAATATGAAAAATCATCAAGCCATTAGCCGCCCCGGAACTACCCCTCCAGCCCCCCCAAAGTTTTACCCTTATTATATAAAAATTCAGAAAAAATCGTTACAATGGCCCTTTGAAGCTGGCGATTTTTTGTAGGACTCATACAATACCCCCACACAATATGAAAAATCATCAAGCCATTAGCCGCCCCGGAACTACCCCTCCAGCCCCCCCAAAGTTTTACCCTTATTATATAAAAATTCAGAAAAAATCGTTACAATGGCCCTTTGAAGCTGGCGATTTTTTGTAGGACTCATACAATACCCCCACACAATATGAAAAATCATCAAGCCATTAGCCGCCCCGGAACTACCCCTCCAGCCCCCCCAAAGTTTTACCCTTATTATATAAAAATTCAGAAAAAATCGTTACAATGGCCCTTTGAAGCTGGCGATTTTTTGTAGGACTCATACAATACCCCCACACAATATGAAAAATCATCAAGCCATTAGCCGCCCCGGAACTACCCCTCCAGCCCCCCCAAAGTTTTACCCTTATTATATAAAAATTCAGAAAAAATCGTTACAATGGCCCTTTGAAGCTGGCGATTTTTTGTAGGACTCATACAATACCCCCACACAATATGAAAAATCATCAAGCCATTAGCCGCCCCGGAACTACCCCTCCAGCCCCCCCAAAGTTTTACCCTTATTATATAAAAATTCAGAAAAAATCGTTACAATGGCCCTTTGAAGCTGGCGATTTTTTGTAGGACTCATACAATACCCCCACACAATATGAAAAATCATCAAGCCATTAGCCGCCCCGGAACTACCCCTCCAGCCCCCCCAAAGTTTTACCCTTATTATATAAAAATTCAGAAAAAATCGTTACAATGGCCCTTTGAAGCTGGCGATTTTTTGTAGGACTCATACAATACCCCCACACAATATGAAAAATCATCAAGCCATTAGCCGCCCCGGAACTACCCCTCCAGCCCCCCCAAAGTTTTACCCTTATTATATAAAAATTCAGAAAAAATCGTTACAATGGCCCTTTGAAGCTGGCGATTTTTTGTAGGACTCATACAATACCCCCACACAATATGAAAAATCATCAAGCCATTAGCCGCCCCGGAACTACCCCTCCAGCCCCCCCAAAGTTTTACCCTTATTATATAAAAATTCAGAAAAAATCGTTACAATGGCCCTTTGAAGCTGGCGATTTTTTGTAGGACTCATACAATACCCCCACACAATATGAAAAATCATCAAGCCATTAGCCGCCCCGGAACTACCCCTCCAGCCCCCCCAAAGTTTTACCCTTATTATATAAAAATTCAGAAAAAATCGTTACAATGGCCCTTTGAAGCTGGCGATTTTTTGTAGGACTCATACAATACCCCCACACAATATGAAAAATCATCAAGCCATTAGCCGCCCCGGAACTACCCCTCCAGCCCCCCCAAAGTTTTACCCTTATTATATAAAAATTCAGAAAAAATCGTTACAATGGCCCTTTGAAGCTGGCGATTTTTTGTAGGACTCATACAATACCCCCACACAATATGAAAAATCATCAAGCCATTAGCCGCCCCGGAACTACCCCTCCAGCCCCCCCAAAGTTTTACCCTTATTATATAAAAATTCAGAAAAAATCGTTACAATGGCCCTTTGAAGCTGGCGATTTTTTGTAGGACTCATACAATACCCCCACACAATATGAAAAATCATCAAGCCATTAGCCGCCCCGGAACTACCCCTCCAGCCCCCCCAAAGTTTTACCCTTATTATATAAAAATTCAGAAAAAATCGTTACAATGGCCCTTTGAAGCTGGCGATTTTTTGTAGGACTCATACAATACCCCCACACAATATGAAAAATCATCAAGCCATTAGCCGCCCCGGAACTACCCCTCCAGCCCCCCCAAAGTTTTACCCTTATTATATAAAAATTCAGAAAAAATCGTTACAATGGCCCTTTGAAGCTGGCGATTTTTTGTAGGACTCATACAATACCCCCACACAATATGAAAAATCATCAAGCCATTAGCCGCCCCGGAACTACCCCTCCAGCCCCCCCAAAGTTTTACCCTTATTATATAAAAATTCAGAAAAAATCGTTACAATGGCCCTTTGAAGCTGGCGATTTTTTGTAGGACTCATACAATACCCCCACACAATATGAAAAATCATCAAGCCATTAGCCGCCCCGGAACTACCCCTCCAGCCCCCCCAAAGTTTTACCCTTATTATATAAAAATTCAGAAAAAATCGTTACAATGGCCCTTTGAAGCTGGCGATTTTTTGTAGGACTCATACAATACCCCCACACAATATGAAAAATCATCAAGCCATTAGCCGCCCCGGAACTACCCCTCCAGCCCCCCCAAAGTTTTACCCTTATTATATAAAAATTCAGAAAAAATCGTTACAATGGCCCTTTGAAGCTGGCGATTTTTTGTAGGACTCATACAATACCCCCACACAATATGAAAAATCATCAAGCCATTAGCCGCCCCGGAACTACCCCTCCAGCCCCCCCAAAGTTTTACCCTTATTATATAAAAATTCAGAAAAAATCGTTACAATGGCCCTTTGAAGCTGGCGATTTTTTGTAGGACTCATCCACTACCCCTACACAATATAAAAAATCACCAAGCCATTAGCTGCCCCTGAACTACCCCTCCAGCCACCCCAAAGTTTTACCCTTATTATATAAAAATTCAGAAAAAATCGTTACAATGGCCCTTTGAAGCTGGCGATTTTTTGTAGGACTCATACAATACCCCCACACAATATAGAAAATCATCAAGCCATTAGCTGCCCCGGAACTTCCCCTTCAGCCACCCCAAAGTTTTACTCTTATTATATAAAAATTCAGAAAAAATCGTTACAATGGCCCTTTGAAGCTGGCGATTTTTTGTAGGACTCATACAATACCCCCACACAATATAGAAAATCATCAAGCCATTAGCTGCCCCGGAACTTCCCCTTCAGCCACCCCAAAGTTTTACTCTTATTATATAAAAATTCAGAAAAAATCGTTACAATGGCCCTTTGAAGCTGGCGATTTTTTGTAGGACTCATACAATACCCCCACACAATATAGAAAATCATCAAGCCATTAGCTGCCCCGGAACTTCCCCTTCAGCCACCCCAAAGTTTTACTCTTATTATATAAAAATTCAGAAAAAATCGTTACAATGGCCCTTTGAAGCTGGCGATTTTTTGTAGGACTCATACAATACCCCCACACAATATAGAAAATCATCAAGCCATTAGCTGCCCCGGAACTTCCCCTT